AGTGGTCGCGATCTTCCCCTGCCAGAATTACCTTTTACCTGCTCTGCTCTTAATCTTGGCAATTTTAGCCGGTTTTCTCAGTTCACTACACAAAACCACACTTCATCATTCTCTTCTGACAGAAACACATTGCCTATTGTTTTGTTCACATTAATGGTTACCTAGAGACTAGAATACAGATTAAAGAATACACAGATTTGTATCAATCCCCCTTTCTTGTAGCTCTAACATACACAATATAGTGAGAATCCATCTATCCCAAACAATTTATATCATATACTCGGTGTTCTCAGACATAATGTCCGGTTGGATAGGGCTGTACAAGGAATATAGCAGCATTGCCATGGTTAGCTGATTCTGTCACCCTGGTTACATGACTCCACTAAGGGCTTTATGATAACAATCTGTTATAATACAGAGAATACTCAACAACATTGTTTTATAGTTAGAAGAGTTTGTCTCTCAAAGCCCAGGTATCAAATTGAGCTTACAGTTTTCATCTACCAGCATTTTTTAATCAATTTTGGTTTCCATCAGTTTATGTATTATGCTCCTTCAGTAGGTTGCCTTGTTACTAGTCATTTTTACTTCAGGAACAGCTTTGCTGAGAATAGAGCTTCCTGTTTAACTATTGCTTCATAGGGTTATAGAAGAAATGTCATTAACTGTATTCTTCTCTCTGAACAGTCACATTTACTATTAGTAGCTTAGCACTTGTAGCCAAAGTAGTTGGAGCCTTAGGGCCACAGGAGCTGACCAAGAGTAAACTTTTTTATAAAACTATTGCTGCTAACACAGAACTAGCTGAATCTGGCAGATATGAGCAGAATGAAGAAGACAAGGACTAAGGAAATAATTCCAAGAGAATGAGGCAATGTCAGGAGAAGGCCAGCACAGCAACAATGAAAACCAAGAAGAAATCAAGAGACTACTACGCAGAATTAAGTGATTCGACTTGAGGATCGAGTGCTGGGTGGTACAGATATAAGGAGCAACACGATCTAGTGTAGGGATCCCTCTCTAGAGGCACAGAGCTCGAGCTGTAACCTGAGAACTAATAAGAGAAGAATTGAAAACCTTCCCTCAGAGCTCACATTGATCAGCAGGATCCTAGGGTTGTACCCTGTTATGGTGGCCAGCGTATGTAAATCTGTAACAGTAGTAGCTGACAAACAGTACTTCCTGAATCTCACCTATATATAATACAAAAACGTAGCAAATGTTCATACTGTTGTTACGACAATGTTTGTACCTACAGTGTGAAAGATGTTTATATCCAGCTGGAGATACAACATGACTTGAATGTGGGAGAAAAAAGATGCAGCAAGGCAGTACTGCCCAGGCAAGTAGGAGAGCTGAGGCTGGCTGAAGTCAAACTTCACTGTTTGTGATCACTGAAGACTATAATCAACCGGTAATTCACTTGTGAAGCAGCCCTGAAGAGGGATTTGCAAATGAGAAGAATGTAAGAGGATAGTTAGGGTTTATCTTTACATGGAAACCACCATATCACCTTTACAAGGTTTTTATATTACAATAGTTAAGTCAAAGGAAAACCCCTCCGCTTTTTATGTGTATCTGTTTGTTCAGAGGTTTTCCGAAACTGGTATGTATCAAGCAGGGCGGATTGAAATATTTTTGTTCCAGAAGGATGCTTTCACCACACCTTCTTTTATATGTTTCAGATAAAAGGAAGTATTTCACCAGGACCTCAGTGTTTATGCTCTGTCTTACCCATTGGACTGATAAGACGTACATTCTTATAAGCAGTGATTTGAGCCATATCATGCCAACAGAGTGCCGGATCACTCATGGGAGGTAGCTAAACAGTCAGGAACATTTCTAGCCAAATATCTTACTAAACATCTGAAATCACCTGCAAAAAGCACCTCTTATGATTACAAACAGCCACACAAGGCAAAGCACCAACAGTTTTCCAAGCTACAACAGTTTTCCGAGCCAGTCCTCAGTCTTGCTCACAGCCAGCTTCTACCTGGCAGCTCATTCTCTCCTACAAAAAACACAGAAGTGTTGCTGGACCATGCTGGTACCAAAGGAAGCTTCACTTTTACTCTCTCTGTGTTAGGAAGTCTTGCACCAAGTCACCTGCATGCGTCTTAGACTAAAGAAATGTTACTACATACATACCTTCAGTGGCTATTTCTGAGTTGTGGTGTGTTCAGACATTGTTTTAACAAATACCTTCCAGCATATATTCTGTATCAGACTTTAATTTTTATTTTCTTAATTTTATAGCAATTACAAAATGTCTTTCAATTCCTTAAGCAGTTTACCTTTGCTCAGAAAAACCACACTTAATGAACTACTCTTGATACCAGTTCTTATTCGTACCCTATGAAAAGTTCCCCCCCCCCCACGTACACTTGATTTGGGATTTTTGTTGCTTCTCTTTTATTGTTAGGTGATTCAACACCATATGGAAGCTGATAGGATTCCAGATTAGATATATCACTTGTGTAAGGATGGAAGAGCAGAGCCCAATGTATAAACTACAATAGTCTGTCTACTAATGTTCCCTATATCGCTACCACAGCCTTCTGCAGCTGTTACAGACTTCAATATCTGCACAGTAAATTCTTCCTAACTGCTAGCATCATCTCCTAGGACAAGCTATAACAAATTATTATTAGTGTCCTTTCATAATGTATTATACTCCAAAACTACTTTAGACTCAGGCATTATAATTTAGGGTTCATAAGAGCTCACCTTCCCTGCAAAAAATCTTACACATCTGTTTCCTTCTCAGATGATGGAGCATTCATATTTTTTAAAATTCAAGCATGCAACTCTCAGAATAAGGCCAAGTAATGCTATATTTAGTAGAACAGTCCAAGGTCTCTAAAAGACTAAAATAGAGACTAAGGCAAATACAACCATTTTCCCTGTCTCACTCCTCAAAAATAATTTATTTCTTGAATGTGCAAAAAAAGCATCCTTTTTGACCCAAACTTCTGCTGAAATCTAAGTGTTCTGTCTGCTATATAAAATATAAAAAACAGCTATTACGTTGTATTTTATTATTAATAATTTTATCATAAATGTATGTAAACAGGTTTAGATAAAAAAATAGATCTTTCACTATCACAGACAGTAACAGGAAATGAGTTCGCTTTTACTAAGACTCCTTTCTGCAATCAGTGGTAATCATCTACCATTGTAAAAAAAAAAAAACAAAAACTGTTCTGAAAAACACTAATCCTATGTCAATAAACAAATGGGGGGGGGAATAAATTGCAGAGTACTTTGTGAATTAAAATAATCTATTCCCGATACCTTCCCCCCTCCCTTTTACCCCTCCGAGGTGAAGTAACAGAAAATGGCCGAAAGTGAGAAAAACAAGGGAAAGAAAATGGTGTTAGAGGCACTTGATTGGTCAGATTTTGGTGCAGAGTCCAAGTTCCTGACACACAGAAAGGAAGATTTCCTAAAATGAAGCGTATCTGCAGTTAACGGAAAGCTCAGAGACTTATAGTTTTCGGCTAAGCAGAAATATTTCCTTTAAGCAAGGCTCCGTGGCTCCTTGTTCCCGAGTTTAAACGAAAGCTGTATTCGTCTCAATACAACAGCTTCTTAAAGGCACAGCTACTCAATTATAGCGTCGAAAAACCAAAAAGACATCTTTTCTAATACTCCAATGGAACAGCGAGCCCCCCGAATTACAGAAAGCGGCCTGCAGTGTAAAAAAAAAAAAAAAGTAATTGAAAGGCGATAGGAAGTCAGATGTAATTTTAGAAATAGACATTTTTCAGGCACCAGCTACAGATTTACTGGGTAGGAGGGCAAGGGGCTGTGCAGCTGAACTCACAGCCAGGGGAAAAACTCGTTGTCCAAGTAGGTTCACAGAAGTCACTGAATGTGAGTTATGGAAAGTCTCAATTTAACAGTAATTCTGGACCCGATGCCAAGTTTATAATCACCAACACCCCTCAGAAAACACACTCTCTGTGCTCATTACAGCAGATATTTTCGGGAGCCAGAACAGGGATGGAGAAAATTGATCCAAACAGGCATCTCTAATCATTCGGACAGGACACCCAGAGCCATCAGTGAAAACAGGGGTCGCATAAGTTACCCTCCTACTAACCGTCCTACCGCCAGCTGTCTCTGGAAACACATTTATCTCGGGAACAAACTAGAGGTAATGGAGAGGGGCTGAAGATGCCCGAGGGACGTCGCCCACGACGGGGACGGTCAGACCGCGAGTGATAAAAGCACTGAGAAAACCACCGACCGAGCGCCTTGCCTCGCAGGGCGGGAAAGGACTTCTTGCACCTCCAGAAATAAAACGTTCCCCGCCCCACGCCCCCCAAAAAATGCTGAGGAAAACAGCGTTTCCCTCTGGACTATAGACCGCAGTGTTACCACAGGAATATAAAGGTAGCACGGAAAGAGGCGTTTATAACATACTTATCTCTCGATACATCTTGTCGAAAGTGTGGGGTTCCGTAGTCACCACTACGAGCTCAAGGACGTTGTGGGAATGCTTTTAAAACAGAATCCAACAGGAGAAAACCCTGAATCATTCACAGCTAGACACTTTCACGTTCAGAAAAAGAAAGCCTGTGATTACAACTTATTAACTGCTAAAAGATTCTCTGGAAAAAAAACGCGTAAAAACAGATTTTCGCTTTTAAGATTTGTCCCAGCACAGTCACCTCAGAAGGAATTAACCCCACCGTACTGCTTTGCTACAACCTGAATCACTTTCAGGCCCTTTTAAACTAGAGTCGCGCGTTGTTTGGTACTTACTTGTTGAGATATGGGGCTCTCGGTCACTGTAAAGCTACCTGAAAAGCACAATGAAACAGATCGCTCCCTACACAGGGCTGAGATTACAGCACTTTCATGGCCACGTGGTGGCTCTTAAAAGAGCCTTTGGGTTTTCGATAGTCTGAGCGATCCGTTGGTTGGATGCTCAGGCGCGCTCCCCGCGGATGCGGCGGGCCAGCTGGATGTCCTTGGGCATGATGGTGACGCGCTTGGCGTGGATGGCGCAGAGGTTGGTGTCCTCGAACAGCCCCACCAGGTAGGCCTCGCTCGCCTCCTGCAGCGCCATCACGGCCGAGCTCTGGAAGCGCAGGTCGGTCTTGAAGTCCTGCGCGATCTCGCGCACCAGGCGCTGGAAGGGCAGCTTGCGGATCAGCAGCTCCGTCGACTTCTGGTAGCGCCGGATCTCGCGCAGCGCCACCGTGCCGGGCCGGTAGCGGTGCGGCTTCTTCACGCCGCCCGTGGCTGGCGCGCTCTT